CTTGTTGAGATAGTATTCTAAGTTAGTTTACTAAATAATGTGGACTAATATACCTTATATCTGGGAAAAGGTTATACCTGGTTGTTTTTTAAAAATCATTTTATTTCTAAAATATATGAGCATTTTAGAAATGGTAAATATTTTCTAAGAAGATTATAAATTTTTGTTAAATATCAAAATATTATAATACCAACATCTGAAAACTTTTCTGTATAGTTTCTATGTTCAATAAATAAATATTAATTTGTATGCTCATAAATGTCCATGTTAGTAACTATGGTGATATAGTTATTATCTGTAATTAACACTTAGGTGCATACCTTAAAATTATAAAGATCCTAAGTAATGGGGTTTATTGACCAAGGTTACTTGTGTAATTCTATTTGCTGTAATTCTATAACCAGTGAAAGCCAGGTGACATACTTGAGGGTCGATTGTAAGTCCCGTGCGCATCAGAAACCAGGTCCTTGCTGGTGTTCATATTCCCCCAGGCCAGCACCCTTCGCGCCTGCTGGGGCCTGGTCAGGGCCGGGTGCACTGACTTAGACTGCTCTCCTCAGCTCGGGGCCTGGTCAGGGCCGGGTACACTGATTTAGACTGCTCTCCTCAGCTCGGGGCCTGGTCAGGGCCGGGTGCACTGACTTAGACTGCTCTCCTCAGCAGCTGCTCCTTCATGTAGAGCCTGTTGCCATTTAGTAAAGTAAATCTGTTTTTGTTCTTTAGAACATGATTACAGCTATGTAGTCTTCTCTTACTCTATATCCAGTTTATCTGGAAATTAAGTATTTGCATATATTTTAATGTAAAACAAGATTTCCATCTTTAGATTTACTTATCAGAATGGTTAGTTTTTTCTGGTATATTAACAAGTATAATTAATATATCTGGTATATTAATAAAGATTCTGAAAGACCTTATAATTAAAATCAAACGTTGAAGACAACTTTATAAAATACTGTTTTTCCATGAACACTCCCAGAACGAGTGTCTCTAAGATTGAAACCCTCCTTCATAAGACTGAACACTTTGGCATGGTTAGCGCCCCATCTGCTCCACGGAGGTGATCTTTAATACTCTTACAGCGCGTACGCTGTGAAGATGTCAGTGGAGAGCAGCTAGTGTGGGCAGGTTTCTTCCTCAGCACCACAGGGCCGGCCGTGGTCTCCATAGTTCTGGTAAAGGAGCGGAGCTGAGCAGAGAGAGACTGGATCTGAGTGGCTTAGAACCTAAAACCTGAAGCTGCGGTGTGTGCTACCTTAAGTCAGGAGAACAAGTATGGAATTGAATCACAAAGGACCAGGCATGGTCTTCAAATAATTAAAATGTTCTGTGTACAAACACACTCCATGTTCTGATGTGGTTGTGTGTGTCAGGAAGTATAAACATGTAACACAAAAGCCTGCCCCAAATCAGAGAACACAAAGCAAATACACTTTATTATGTCTTTCAAGCTAGGTGGGAAAAATGAAAATTCCCAAGGGGTTTAGAACAGGGCGGTGCTCTTGACGCTCTGACTGGAAAGCAGGGTATGCATGCCCCAGGAGCCTGACAAAGACCGTTTCTTACGTCGGCTCTGTGCAATCGTGATATTTCACTGACATTTGTTTGTTTTTTTTTTAAACTGTAAGTTTTATTTTTAACTTGTTTTTTTTGTTTGTTTGTTTAAAAAAAAAAACTTTGTACAGCTTTATGGTTCCATAATGTGACTTCTGAGGCGTTTGGAGTCGGAGTGAATGTCTTTTGGAAGCACCTCCCATCGGAATGCTACGACAGAACAGACACCTATGGCAACAAAGACCCTGTGGCCGCGTCCAGAGCTGTGCAGATCCTGGACAGAGCTCTGAAGACACTGGCTGACCTACCAGAGGAGTACAGGGACTTCTATGCACGCCAAATGGTCCTGCGTATTCAGGACAAAGCCTACAGCAAGAACTTGGAGTAAAAGAAAAGTGAACTAACTGTAGTAAAAATTTAAAAATAAATAAAAATCAGCTCAAGAACTTGAGAACTATAATAAGATATAAACATTTAAAGATGCTTTTTTAAAAATTGGACAACCCAGTCTCAGATTTATGGTATAAAGGGAGATGCATATCTGATTTCTACTTGGTACAGATTGAGAGTGCTTAGTGCAAGCATCCTTTAGTTCTAAGACATAAATAAGTAAAATGCCTACTTAATAAAAAATGTATTGATTCACTGCATGGAGTCTGCTGACGGAATGGCCTTTGGTTTTCGCAGTGATTTATTAGTTCACCAGAAACCTTTGTTCGCCCCACCCCCACCCCACTCTTTCAGCCACAGGATTGGCATCATCCGAGGTCTAGCTACCCTCGTGGTCCTGGACAGTTGCCAGCAGCAGCTGGGGCCTTGTGTGTCTTCATTTGTATGCAGTGGAGCCGCCTGGCTGGAATCCACAGGCCCTGTCTTCCATGAAGCCGCTTTCCAGCATCCCTACCAAGCCCTTGGCCCTGAAGCTCTGAAGTGGCTGACCCTGCCCATCAGTGAGCCAGACATCACACGCTGTGAGAGTAAACACGAGGGGGATCTTCTTCCGCGGGGCACAGGGAGTGTGAGAGAACAGAACGGTTTAGATATTTCGTAAAGCTTCCAGGATGCTAACAATGAACACATCTGATGGTGCGGTAGATCGTGAGCTCTGGGGTTTGTCCAAAACAAGTATCTCGTCTGACCCTGGCCCTTCCTGCCGCGTTGATGTTGTCTGTCTCTTTCCAGTTAATACTTACATGTAAACTTCAGTGTTTTCCTCACAAACAGCTTGAAAGGTGAGAAAGCCCACGGATGTAATCTCTGAAGATAATGACCCATTTGTGTGTGTGCTGTCCCTGGTACTCAGGGCCACTGAAGAACAACGGTCTTTAATGAACACATGTCCATCTAACGTAATAAGTCCATCAATTAAACACATTTCAATTACAGAGGAAACAGTTACTGTTGAAGGAAGCTCATCCACTGGTGCCCTCTTTAGAGCTGGAATAACGTCAGGCACTGAACAGAGAAAGGAAAAGTATCTCAGAATCATGACTTAGTCATCTTTGGAAGTAAAACTGAAATTACCGAGACAAGCAAAGGTTGAACGTGGACTGGCAAAAGTAGTTTAGTATGCTAGCCATGGCTAATTATCAGATTCTTTTTTCATCTGTTTAGCCTGAGCAAAGCACTGACTTTATTCTTCTCTCAGAAAGGAAAAGATGCAAACCCTTACTTCACACAGTATTTACTTAGCTTTGAGTAAACTAACCAGAGTCGTACAGAGGGTTGGGAACACACGGTGGTAGAGTGCTCACACAGCACAGGTGACTGGGTTCAGACCCAAACTGGCCTACACAGAACCCTTGTTAGGTAGCCTAGCGGGGACTGGGGGATCTATTCTTCTTCACCTTGAAAGTGTAACGATTATAACACCGTCTACAAAGGCCAGGTAAGGGCCAGCACGTGACTGAGGCTAGTCAGCTGTCTTCCTCTAAGACTTGCTAGTTAGCTCCTCCTGAAGTCCACAGCACGGCAATGAATCCTCTGAGTAGTTTTCAGACCATTCTCCTGCTCATATTTTTAAATAAAGATATTTTAATCTTTTGGTTTAAGGCCAAGTGAATAACATATACATTAACTAATTCATTGGATTCAAAATATTTAATTGTTGAGTGAAGGTATGTTAGAAATTACATAATCACCCTGGGTTGCAGAGACGATTCTGGTTAACTGAGTGGCTACAGAAACAGATTACAGTGGTGGTGGCCATATGAGTCACACCCCATTGTTCCAGCTGATCCAGGGCTGAGCAAGCTCACTGTCCCCCAACAAAATGAATATATGGCTTACTAGATACAGACATGAACATAAATGAAAACTAACAGTCAATGAGAAGATGGCAGAATATAATACAAAACATGCAACCAAGGAGTCTGGATATGCGTTGGCATGGGATTTGTCCAGCTTAATTACACAAAACCCTTTAGAGTCCTGCCGTCTGTACAGTGTGTGCTCTGTAAACGTTTACATAGGCAGAATTAGCTCCGCTAGGTACACAGCCAACCGAGTGACAGCAGCTGCTGAGATGAGGCCGAGTGGCCGTGGGAGACCCATCTGACTTTGTACATCGTGTTCAAAAACGTTTCAAAACACTGTTAGCTCTGCATGACTCAGTATTTGTCTTGGCCTAGGGCATTAAGAGCAGGTATTCCATAATTTCAAAATGTATGAAATACCAAGAGACAGTCAACAAGGCTAGGTTTCTTTTATCCTTTTGTGGCAGTTATGCGGACATCTGCAAAGAACCAATAACGCAGCACATCTCCTACCTACTAAAAGCTGTGTTAAATCTTAGGAGTTGTGGAGTAGGGTAGGTCATTCGGGGAGGTGAAAGGCAGGCTGCGGTGACTCCTTCCAGTGTTGGGTGGCAGATGGGGCAAGAGGAACTACAGGCCGGCACTGCTGTTAGCCATGCTTCAAGCACAGAAGTCCCCACTGGGCGTCTTAAACATG